TATTTATAAAATATAAAATATATTATATATTATATAATTGTAATATTAATAATATATAATAAATATATATATATATATTTTAATTTATGTTTAATGTCATATATTTAATACAAATATAAAATTTCTTTAATTTATATTCAATTTATTATTGATATTCTTTTTTGAAAAAAAATTTATTTAATTAATTATTAAATTAATTAAATTATTTAATTACAAAAGAAACACATGGGAGAAAAATGAGAAAGTATAGTTTCATTTTTTAATCTTTTATATCGTATCTTTTCACTTCTATAGCCCCTAATTAATTTTTTTTTTTTTTTTAATTATAATATCTTTGGCTTTTTCATATGAGAATATTTCATTTTCTTGAAAAACGTTTTACAACGAGATTTTTCATTTAATCTTATCAATTTGAAAAAAGAAACGTCTTATCTATACCTAAAGAAACTTTTATTTTCACATGTGTGTGTGTGTGTGTTACAGTTTTAAATTATTTGAAATAAATGTTCATTATTTATAATTATCATATATAATTAAATTTTATCATTATCATTTTGTCTATCGAATAAAATAAACTTCCTATTTTCTATTAAAACGATCTACAATAAATAAATACAATAACAGCTGACAACTATACTTTATGTGTGTATGTGTGTTCCCATATCTCACGCGATGATCCTAAGAAAAGAAACTTTCTAATTGTGATTCTAATTAATAACTTAATACAAGTATTTTAATATATTCTTCATAGTTTAACGAACTCCCTGAACAAACTATCTCTTTCACTTTTTTATTTTATTCATTATTAATTCATATATATATTATTCATAAAATTAATAATTAATTAAATACATGTACAAAATCTTGCTATTGAAGATGTTCTTTTTCTTTTTTTCTTTTCTTTTCTTTTCTATTGAAATAAAAATGATTTAGAAAAAGTTACCCTAGCTCGTGTTTACTCAAATAAATTTGCACTGTCAATGTGTACGTGTACATTATAAATATAATACATATATTTATGTATGTATGTATGTATGTATGTGTAGGTATATTCATTTACATTCATAGGTGTACCAAGTTACGACACGTCTTTAAAACCTCAAGTCTTGTGTAAACGAGATAGGAAGTAAGGTGCACAGGGTTTTGAGTGCCCTTTCCTTCAGCACTTGTTGAAGAAGAACCTCTTCTGTATACCTTCTGTCTATGAGTTATATGGGATCCTCTTTCATCAATTTGCAGAACCATTCGCTTCCTACCACAAATTTCATAGATAATGACTCGGCAAGTAGTTTGAACGAATTCCATGGTTTGTTTTTCTTTTATTTTTTTTAATTTTCTTTTGTATATACACATATAAAATTAAATATTCGGGTATTATAACTTTTAATGTCAATTATAACGAATGTGATTATATTTTTTAATGATTATTTGTTTTTTTTTTTTTTATTAATTAATATAAATCAAAATATACGTATTTTAAATTTTTATACGAATTTTTATGATTGGTTTTAGATTGTAAAATTATATAATTTATTTTTAATTTATTTCTTATATTATTTTTTACTTTGTTCTATATATTATTTTTTTATTTTACTAATTTATATTATTTCAAAGATATAGATATCTCTTTAATAATAATAATTTAATAATAGTAATATATTATTAATATATCATAATTATTATGTATATTTATATATAATGTATAAATATATATAAAATTATAATTATATTAATATATA